ACCTTTCGCAGTGGCAAAGGTTTGGTCACCCTTCTTGGCCGCGAGAGCTTTTCTGCGAAGCTCCCTGTCGTGGCTGTACGGGCAGGCATCCCCTTTCGGGCAATTCCCATGATCGCGAAAGTGGAAGCAGATCTTCTTGTCCGCTCCTTTGCCAGCTCCCTTTGACGCAGCAGCATACGTCTGGTCCGCGCCAGCCTTGGCCGCGGCAGCCGCTCCTTTCGCAGCAGCTTTCGCAGCGGCCTTGAGACTCTTAATCTCCTTCTGAGCCTCAGCCAGCGCGACCGCCGGGTCCGCGCACTGCGAACCGGTGGCAGTGTACACAGAGTGGGAAACAGCCCTGTGCGCTGCTTCTCTCTGCTCGTACTCCAGAACGACTTTGTGGCTCTCCTCCCAAGTCTGCGGTCCTCGCAACCCGCCATCCTTGGGGTCGCCAGGCCACAACCTTTTGTCGTTCCGGATCTCCTTCTGGAGATAAGGGGGCATCTTGCGGAGGTATGAGAGATACAACTCTCGAGGGGTCTTCCCGAGACCTACTGCCTCAAGGTCCGCGATCGAGGCCTCAAACAAAGGCTCGAATTGGTGGCCTGTGAGCTTGCCTTTAGCGAGGGAGGCGTGCTCACCATCCACGCGGACTTCTCTTTCCTCCCGCGATTCCCCGAACATCAAGTGCTTGTTCTTGATGCGGTCATACACCGCCTGTGGATCTGAGAGAACCTCTCCCGACTTCCACGCTGCGCGGTACGCGTTCGTGTACGTCTTCATGCGCGAGCCGCGGCAGCGCCCGCGTAGCGCTAACAGCTTTTCGCGCGCACTCATACCGCGACAGTTGTTGGCCAGCGCGCAGACGTCCTCGAACTCCTCGTAGAACAGGACAACGTCTCGCGCGTCCGACTTGTCGTCGGTCAGCGTCGGCCACGTGAGGTCAGTTTTGACCGTAGTTATGGAGCTTTGCCCGCCCCTCTGCGCTAAGGCTTCTTTCAGCGCCTCAGTTTGGGCGGCGAGTGCGGCGGCGAGATCGCCCGCCGGGTGTTGGGACCCGGTCTGCGAACCTCCGCCGTCTGAACCTCGCTTCAGGGCTTCTATCTCCATCTCTAGCGCAACAAGCTTCGCGCGCAAAGGGGAATCGCCGTCCGTCGCGCCCAGGACACGGGCCGCGGAAGGACCACCTGCTGCCTCAGCAGTGTGCAAACCTTCACGGTCCAATCCTTCCCCCAACCCACTTGCAGTCGCAGGCTGTGGGAGCCCTGGGGAACGCGGCCCCACGGCTTCAACTGGCACATCGGACGGGGAGCTCCAAACCTTCTCTTGGCTCGAGCTTTCTTTTCCCCCTAACGCGAGGATAAGCTCCCCGATGCATTGGATTTCGCGCTGAATCTCCTCTGCGTCTTCGGGGTCCTCGCCACCGCGCAAAGCCGCGACCGAGAACCTGGTCCGCAGCCGACGGACCATCTTCGTGGGATGCCAGTCCCCGCCTATTTTGGAGAACTCATCCGCAAGGAGGGTGGCTTTGGTGCTTAGGGCGTCAAGGTCACGGGAGCTCACCGTGACTCCATGCGCTTTCAGCGCGAGGACAATCCGCGAAACGCGCGTCAAGTAGTCCGCGACCGGTTCTTGGTCTGGACGGTAAATCGCGCGCAGCTCCGCCTGCAAGCCCTCTGCGGTGCCTGGCACTGAACCTGCAGTCGACGGCGGACCGGACGGTCCCGCCGGGCGGGACCCTGGTGCCGTAGCAGGGACATAGGCAGCACCGGTAGGGACCATGGCCAGCTCCCTAGCCGCGGCGCTGACGTCCACCCGCGGCGGACTGTCGCCTCCAGCGCCCGAGGCCTCTGGTACTAGCTCGGAGTCCTCTTCTTCTTCCTCCTCATCTTCGTCCTCCTCTTCGGCGTCATGGAGGAACTTCATGACTTTTCGCCAGAGAGCCGCCTCCTGCTCTGGCGTAGTGCTGACCCCATCCCGTTTGGACAACGGACGGCTGCCAGTCTCCCTACGCCACTTAAGCCAAGCGACGTAGCCCATCCGCTCGGGATAGGGAACGTCTCCACCCTCGATCGCTTCGAGGAGGGTGACGCCCTCAGCCTGACCTGCAACCTCTGCGGACATTGCCGCGACGCAAGGCGAGAAGCCGCGCCTTGGTAAGCAGGCCGCAGGCGTGGCACGCGAAGCGCCGCGCCTTGGTTAACAGGCCGCAAGCGTGGCACACAGTCCACGCGTCCAGGTCACGGACCGCGACAGACAAGCAAAGCAATGCTTGCCCACTCGGGCCGTAGGCACAAGAGCTGTATTTCCCAGAACAGCCCCCAATTGTGAAGTCGACCAGCACTGGACTTGCACTAAGCCAATGCAATCACAGCCCGGTCACGCTGTTTTACGACTTCGCGAGTTCAAGCACTTGTGCAGCTACGCCTGAGTGCGTCCGGTCGGACCGCACAGCAACCTAAGAGCTACTGTACGACTCTACCGTGCTCAAAGGCACAAGCTCGGTACTTGAGCCAAAACATTGGCATTGTTACGAATTGCAAAACTACACATGCAAGGAAAACTACAGTACTGGTTCTGGCAGCTTTGCACATGCAGCGTGCGTGCATAGACCTGCTCACAATATATATGTTATATTATATTATATATATTATATATATTATATATATTATATATATTATATATATTATATATATTATATATATTATATATATTATATATATTATATATATTATATATATTATATATATTCTATTTATATATATTGTATTTATTATGTTTATTATATATATATATATATATATTTATGTTATATTATATATGTATATATTAAATTATGTATGACATATTATACAATATATATTATTATATTATATATTATATGTTATATATTATTATTATATTATTTGTTATACTATGTATATATATATAGATAATATATTAAACATTATTATGTGTATATTATATACATATGTATATATATATATATATAATATCATTTTATATTTATATTTTTTCATATTGTTGTACATTATATGATATATGTGTGTCGATAAATAAGTAAATATGAATATAAATATAAATATAGATATAAATATAAATATACATAAACTTATAAATAAGTATATATATATATATTGCATATTGTATATTATATGTCATATATTGCATATCATATATTGTATATTGTATATTATATACTGCATATAATGCATAATATAAAGTATATAATATACAATATATACTATATACATAATATACAATACATAAACTATATAATATAATTTATTATTCATTAATTTATTATTTATTATTCATTATATAGTATTTTTTATATATTATGTAGTATGTATTATATATTGTTCTTTGAAGCCATTGGAATGCAAAGAAAATGCAAGTTTTTTGCTTAAAACATGTAGAAGTAGAGTTTTTCCGATGGAAACATAGAGATAATAGAGGATTTCTCATGAAATCGTGAAGACAGTAGACGTTTTCTTGTGGGAGTATGAAGAAATAGAGGTTTTCCCATTGAAAGATCGAGAAAATAGAAGGTTTTCCAACCACTACCACCACTTCTACGCATCGTGCGAACATTGTTTGCAAATGGGGGGGGCTGCGCCCCGCCCAACCCCCCCGCTGTTTTTTTTAAGCTGTGCAAAGCGTGCTGCAAAGCCAAGTGCGGGGGGGTGGGGGGGGCGGGGCTGCGCCAACCCCAAGCCCCCCGCGTTTTTATCAAGCTGTGCCACTGCAAAGCGTGCTTTATGAATCTTGTTGAAGCCATTGGGATACTAAAACGTTTAAGTTTTTTTTAAAGTATATGGAAACAGAGGTTTTCCGATGAAAACATAGAGATGATAGAGGTTTCCTATGAAAACGTGAAGAAAATAGAGGTTTCTTGTGGTAATATGAAGAAATAGAGGTTTTCCTATTAAAAGATCGAGAAATAGAAGGTTTTCCAACCACTACCACCACCCACTACTACCCATCGTGCGAGCATTGTGTTTGCAAATGGGGGGGGGGGCCCCCCCCACCCCCCCCCCCGCTGTATTCCAAGAGGGTTTTTTTTTTATGCTTATTTATTTTTTTTTGATCCCTTGGGGTTATTTTTTTTTTGATGCTTATTTATTTTTTTTTGATCCTTCACCCATGAATTACATCCTTTTCAGTTCTGCTGTTTTTTTCCAATGATGCAGAGGCGCGGCTCAGATCATTCGCTGCCCGATAATATAGATGCAATCACCAGTCGGTGAGGATAAATGGCGTCAGCAATCTAAGGAATATTCAGCATACCCCCTACTACACATACCCTTATTTAAAAGACATGAAGGGGTCTGCTAAAATCCCGCCTTAGACTCCCTTATCATCTCCTTGTATGGGTTTGGGGTATGGTGAACTGGCCACTTTCCGCAAGTCGTTTGGGGGAAGCTCTAAAGTAGGGCCCGCTCAGCTTGCTGTAAAAAAAGGCGCCCCCTAGTGTTTAGGGTACAGTACCCAACAAGGGAGGATCATCTTGAGAACGGACTATATGGAGGTGTACATCATGAGACCCCGAATGTAATGTAGACCCTCAAATAGTAGGATTCCCTCATAAAGGGACCCCAATAAGGTACCCCTCTCCCGAGCCTGAATGCCGGCTAGCTCCCCACGATCCTTGCCCTGGAGTTGAGGTTTGAGGGTCTAGGGCTAGCCCTAAACCCGAAACCCTGCACCCTCAGCCCTAAGCCCTAGGCCCGCGGGTTTAGTAGTTTCGGGGTTGAGGCATTAGGTTTAGGTTTAGGGTACCTAAGCAGGTCAATGCCAGGAATGTACTAAGCCCCCCTTCGCAGGCCCCCTTCAGACCGTTCCCCCGAATCTGCCCGAAACCCCTCAAGCCAACAGAAACAGACTTTTTTGGCTTTAGGGTTCAGGGTAGTTTAGGGTTTAGGGTCTTTAGGATTTAGGGTTAGACCCTGAGGCCTAAGACCCCCAAACCTTGAACCCTAAACTTAAACCCGAGCCCCCAAAATCATGAAGCCCTACAGGACCCGACGAGGACACGGCGGGGCAGGAAGCCGGTACCCCAAAAATGCCCAGGCGCCGGCGAGTTTAGGGTTTAGGGTTTAGGGTTTGGGGTTTAGGGTTTAGGGTTTAGGGTTTTTCTTCGGGCTTGTCAGGCTTGCTCAAGCACTTTTATAGGGGCGTCTTACGAGTTAGTTCGGGTTACTGGCTTGATTTTTGGTGGTACTTGTCAGTTTTGTGGTGTGGGCTTCAGGACTTTTGTATGGGTCTTACACATATGTACATCAGGGTCCACGGCTTGCAGGGTTTCGGGTTCATTAGGCTTTGGAAGAAGCGTTGTGATGTATAGGGTTTAGGGTTGGAGGTTTGTGGTTCGGGGCCCGAGTGTTTTCGGACTTTCTTTTCCTTGGGGGCGGGGGGAGGGGGTTCGGTTTTTTGCGTCTTTACATAGGGTTTGGGATCAGGGCTGAGGGTGCCTGTTTGGGCTTCAGGGTTGGGAAGGTTCTGGGATGGATGCGTTTAGGGCTTAGGGTTTCGGGGTGAGGGTTTCGGAGAGAGAGTCCTGCAGTTTGGGGCCCGGAGGCGCGATAGAGTCTACATTTATATGGGCTACTGGGTTGCTCCAACCCCTAAAAATGAAGCTTCCTTGTCGTAGTCATATGGCTAGCTCTCTAAATTGGGGATCCCTTTTGGGGTCCATTTTGCAAGATGCCGTACGATATAGGGACCCAAAAAGGGAGCCTAACCGTGGACTTTCTTTGAAGGGGAATGTGCGTGTTACTCGGGTTTCAACCGATTCTATAAAAACAGTCTTCAAGATGTACCAAAACACTACTGGAGTTCTTACTTTTTGCTGCTTGGTTCTTAGTGTTAGTTGTGTTTCGGTTTCTGAAATACACTGTGTTAACCCGGAGCCTCATCCCTTAGTATGTTGTACAAGGAGGCAAAAACGCTGTAAATACCGGTGTTCTGGTGTGCTCGCCAAAGGCAGGGACGCTTGTGACAGCTTTTCTTGTTCCACATCCTTGCGCAGTATGTTGTACAACGAGGCGAAAACGCGGTAAATACCAGCGCATTGGGCATCGTCGCAATTGGCATGGACGCTTGTGACAACGTGTCCTGCTCCGCATCCTTGCGCAGTATGTTGCACAAAGAAGCGAAAAAAACTTTGCTTGTGCCACATCCTTGTGCAATATGTCATACAAAGAGGCAAAAACGCGGAACATACCAGTGTTTTGGGCATCGTCGCGAAAAGCATCATGGACGCTTGTGACACGTGTCTTGTTGCACATCCTTGCGCAGTGTGTTGTATAAAGAGGCGAAAACGCGGTAAATACCAGTGTTTTGTGCATGGAATGACGGTCTTATCCCCCCTCCCCAAAGCCGAACAACAGGAAAAGTGCAGGAAACGCCGGACAAAATGCGGGAAACACTGCGGCAACCCAGGACTCGTGGCCCAACTACCCATATGATGGTCATGCGGTCCACCATCATTTGGAAACCTTGTATGGTCAACTCAGTCAACTCTCAAAATCATCCCTGAATATATGGGGTACCCCAAAGGCACCGTCATGGAGAGACTTGAGGCAGGTACCCCTTTCCTGAACCCCTAAACCCAAAACCCTAACCCTAAACCCCAAACCCTCATTTGGAGACCTTTTCATGTAGGTACCCCAGCTAGGATGCTTTTTTAGTAGGTTTAGGTTCCCTTATAAACCCTTTAAGGAAAAAGGGCACCCTTTTTCATCCTAGGTTACTGGGCAACCTAGCCAGGAAAGGAAGTTGTCCTTAGTTGAACTGATAGGTGGCTACTGGAGATGCAGTCAGAGGGCCTCATCGAGGAGAAGCCCGACGCCAACATGCGCCTTGCTAGCAGACAGAAATCCTTTGTTTAGGGGTTGAGGGGTTTAGGGGTTTAGGGGTTGAGGGGTTTAGGGGTTCAGGGGTTTAGGGGTTTAGGGGTTTTGGGGTTTTGGGGTTTTGGGGTTCAGGGGTTCAGTGGTTTAGGGGGTTTAGGGGTTAGGGGTTTAGGGGTTTTGGGGTTTTAGGGGTTGAGGGGTTTAGGGGTTTAGGGGTTTAGGGGTTTAGGGGTTTCGGGTTTAGGGGTTTATAGATAGCTGGGGATTCTTTGGGCGGGTGGGTTTTTTTCCTAAGCCTGGAACCCCCTAATGACTATGAATGCTAGAACAGTGACCCTCTAGACCCTAAACCCTAAACCCTAAACCCTAAACACCCCCAGGCTTCTAGGCCCAGCCCTAAGGTTGGAACCAAGACCCCTTAGTATGGTCTTTTACCCATATTTCTAGGGATCCGAAGTATGGGCCCTTGTTCTGTATAGTCTATCTAAGGCTTATATAACAAGGGGGCCCACATGAAGGGCCCATACCTGGAACTTTAGAGAAACCCTAAACCCTAAACCCTAAACCCTAAACCCTAAACCCTAAACGCTAAACCCTAAACCGTAAACCCTAAACCCTAAACCCTAAACCCTAAACCCGTAAACCCTAAACCCTAAACCCTAAACCCTAAACCCTAAACCCTAAACCCTAAACCCTAAACCCTAAACCCTAAACCCTAAACCCTAAACCCTAAACCCTAAACCCTACCAACAAGGTGCTTGGTCCTTGCCTGCGACGCCGTGGAACGTCGGGACTTTCCTGCCGTTGAGCAGCGCCAGTGCCTGCACTAGGGTTCATTCCCCAGATTGGGGTTTCGGGAATGAGGCAGATCGTAGCTTTCCAACGTATGACTTGACTTACACTGGTGAGGCTCAAGGCGGCGACAACCGACAAATTACATCGCTGCGCCTCTTCGAGCCATGGGATGCGCGGCAGGGATCTCCATCCATCCGCGCAACGCCCAGATGCAGGGACCAAGTGGTGTGGACCGGACGGCAATGAGTGTGGACCAGATGGCGATGAAGGTGTCGATGAAGATCTTGGCAAAGCAGTGCCCACAGCCACAGCCCCTTGTCGAGTCGTCTTGGGATTCTGCGACTTGGAACCGGGACATTCCGAGGGGCGTGCGTCGCCCACCGAATCGTAATCACGCACGAACGGCACCTGCTCTTCATGGACCCAATCCGGCAAGACCTCGAGGCAGTCCAGACGCCTTCAGTAAAAAAGAATGGTGTCGATTCGGCGGCAGACAGGTGAGGATTGAACATTCCTAAACCCGAAACCCGAATCCCGAAACCCTAAACCCTAAACTACTACACTACTACAGAGTCATCGCACAGAACTGCAGCTTCCAGGTCTGCATCATGCCCTAGCTGCATGGCGCAGAGTGTGTACAGTCGTATAAGGAGGCTTTTCGAGGTATTAGGGGTATGTTGGTATGAAGGTATGAAGGTATGAAGGTATGAAGCTACAGGTGGTGTTTGTTGACTCTGAAGCTCAGTGAGTGCATTGACGGCAACACTGCAAGAACCTGTGTGAGCATCGGTACTTATGCATGATACGAGCAATGAGCAAGCCATTGAGCGGGCTGACGCCGTGCGATGCATCGCGCTTGGCTCAGCAATGAATGAACCCGGCACTCCATGCCCACACTATCTTCCATGGCTGTCCCTGGCGTACGTTGGTGCGCTCAGTCGGTATGCCTGCTGGGCGCTAGGCTTACGGAGTGCTAATTTCCTCCGGCATAACTGTCGGATGCACGGCATTGCTCAATCGCACTCGGCGGGTTACTTGCAAGAGCCACTTTCATCGGAATAGTAGGGAAGGAAGTACCTTATACCCCTGTGCACTTTAAGGGACTATGTAGGGTACTTACTGCCTCACAGTTCGCAAGTTCGCCGCGAAGGTTCAGTACGTATTTGCCATATTGTTAGAAACATCACTGCGAACTGTCCTGAGTCCTGCCATTTTTGAATATTTTCAGGTATGGGTACTGTCAGGCGGACGTCGTCATGTACCCTAAGGACCAAATTTGATCCCTAAAAGGGTTTATGGTTTATGGTTCACGTATCCTAGAGGGATTAGACGCGTCTGGGGCATATGATCCCACTTTTACGGTTCATTTGGTCCCCAAGGTATGACTTCATGCTCGGGCTGGCTGCGAAGACAGGCCCCAAACCCCAAACCCTAAACCCCAAACCTCCCATGCACGGCAACTCTGAGTCGCGACTCGCGCGTGATCGCGCCGCCCGAGCCGTTTGCCAACGACCTCCTTGTACCTTCAGATTACCCTAAGGGTCCATGTGCCTAAACAGGGTATAGGGTTTAGGGTTTCGGGTTCAGGGTTTCGGGTCCATGTACCTAAAGAGGGAAGACTTGGGCCTCAGAATATGTCCTATATAGGGACTTTGGGGCCCGAGTATGGAATCGTAAGGTGGATGGACACTTGGGGTTCAGATTAGAGAGACTTTTTGAGAAGCAAGTTTCATTATCACGGAACGGAAGTCGCATTTTTTTAAGGCTTCTGAGCCAAATTGCGCATACTGCGATATGCCGCAGAAACACAAAATAGTGGCGGAGCCCCCACTTCGACCCAAAACCGGGGTTTAGGGTTTAGGGTTTATAGGGTTTACAGGGTTTATAGGGTTTAGGGTTTAGGGTTTAGGGTTTAGGGTTTAGGGTTTAGGGGCCTAGGGGTTAAGGGCCTTACAACCTCAGGGGCTTAGGGGTTTAGGAATGTAGGGGTTTAGGGTTTAGGAGTTTAGGGGTTAGGAGTTTAGGGGTTTTGGCGGTTTAGGGTTTAGGGGTTTCGTCTTCTTCTTCTTCTTCTTCTTCTTCTTCTTCTTCTCCTTGTCTAGTTGGGATCCTTTTACCTTGTGACAAGGGTGGGTTTAGGGTTTAGGGTTTAATTCTGAGAATCTCTGGTTGGAAAATAGCCAATCAGACGCTGACCTCTGCTGGCAGCTGGGAACTGTTGCCCGCCTGCGGATCCTGAGGCTGCCGCAAGTACCTAGGATGGCCCTTCAAACCCTAAACCCTAAACCCTGAACCCTAAACCCTAAACCCTAAACCCTAAACCCTAACCCCTAAACCCTAAACCCTAAACCCCTCAACCCACAAGGTGGATCCTAACAGCCTTCGGCCACGAAGATGCCCCGGACCAAGATGCCATCGACAAGTTGTGGAAGGCCGGTTTGGGGGGGCGCGCTATAGGGTTCGGGGTGTGAGGGGCTTAGGGTTTGCGGTTTGGGGTTTAGGGCTGAGGGTTTTAGGGTTTGGGGTTTAGGGTTTGGGGCTTGGTGTTTAGGGTTTAGGGGTGTGAGGACGTCTACGTAGGGGTTTTGCAGAGATTTAGGGTTTGATCCCTAAACACTAAACACAAATAGGCCCCAAGAAGCCTAGAGCCTGAAGGCGGGCTTAGGGGTTTGAGCTGAATTTCAGGGTTTAGGCCCTTTGAGGTGTAGGGCTGTGAGGGTGAACGCTAATCCTCAGACCCTAAACTTTGCCCTGAACCTTGGTTGAACCCTGAGCCCTAAAGGGCGCCCAGAAAGCTCGTACGGTTTTTCAAGCCTCAAAGACCACACCATGCAAGGTTTTGGGCTACTTCAAGCCGGAGGGCACACAACCCTAACCTTAAAGCCTACTAAACCCGAAACCCTTGGCCCTGAACCCCTGAACCCTAAGCCACTATCCCTTAGCCCTTCAAACCCGGAGCTCCGACTTCTATTGCTGGAGAACAGGGCTCAGAACCAACAAGCTGCCAAGAAACGTTTAGGGTTTTGGAGTTTAGGGTGTAGGGCTTATGGGTTCTAGGGTTTAAGGTACGGGCTTATGCCTTAATCCAAGACGCCTCACGAGTTGTTTTGAAGTTTGCGGTTAACGCGAAACCCCAAACCCAATCCCTCAAACCCCTTAGCCCGAACCCCGAAACCCAAATCTGTTAAACCCTAAACCCTAAACCCTCAACCCTCAACCCTCAACCCTCAACCCTAAACCCTAAACCCTAAACCCTATAAACCCTGATCTGTTACTCAAAGACGATGAGGCGGCCTCCCGTCAAGCTCCGCTCAAGGAGGCAGAGCGCTGGCTACGCCTCACGAGACAGGACCAGGGGCTTGGGGTAAAAGGCTTGGCGGTTTAGGGTTTAGGGTTTAGGGTTTAGGGTTTAGGGTTTAGGGTTTAGGGTTTAGGGTTTAGGGTTTAGGGTTTAGGGTTTAGGGTTTAGGGTTTAGGGTGTAGGGTGTACTGTTTAGGGTTTAGGGTTTAGGGTTCGGGTTTGGGCCCTAGACCCGAAACCCTCAAGCCCAAACCCCAGACCCTAAACCCTAAACCATCCCCGAGGACCCTGAACCTCACCGCTCCCCAAACTGCAAAGAGTGCTTCAAGGAGGGGGCGTCATGGGAGGGTAGGGTTTCGGGTTTAGGCTTTGGGCTTTGTGGTTGAAGGTCGAAACCCTAAACCCAAAACCCTCAACCCTAAACCCTAAACCCTAAACCCTAAACCCTAAACCCTAAACCCTAAACCCTAAACCCTAAGCCCTAAGCCCTAAACCCTAAACCCTAAACCCTCCGCGGAGGCAGGCGTGGTGCCCTCGGCCGCGGCTGCCAAGGCTTTGCTGCAGGCAGCGGCCCGCGCCGGAGACCTCCAAGCCGCCGAGACCTGGCGCCTCGGAGCCTTCCCGGGGTGGGGGATTTAGGGTTTAGGGTTTAGGGTTTAGGGTTTTAGGGCTTAGGGTTTAGGGTTTTAGGGTTTTGGGTTTAGCTTTTTAGGGTTTAGGGTTTAGGGTTGGGGTTTAGGGTGTTAGGGTTTAGGGTTTGGGGTTTGGGGTTTGGGGGTTTGGGAGTAAAGGTGTTGCAGGGCTTACAGGGTTTAAAGGGTTCTCAGGGTTCGTAGGGTTTCGGGCATTTCCCGACATGGGGGTCTCCTAAATACCAAAATTCAAGAATCCTTAACTAGAGGGTTTTGGGGTTTATGGGTCGAGAGTTGAGGGGTCTGGGGTTTCCGTGTCAGGGTGGAGGTTTTGGGGCAGGGTTTAGGGTTGGGATTGGAGTTTTCGGGTTTGGTCTTTGCAGATTTCAGATTTGTTGCCCAAGCTGTTTCTAGGAAGGGCACCCACTCAACATCACGCAGATGAGGGGCTGCGACCTGCCGAGCTCCTCAGACCCCTTGTGCTAAACCCTAAACCCTAAACCCTAAACCCTAAACCCTAAACCCTAAACCCTAAACCCTAAACCCTAAACCCTAAACCCTCCCGCAGATGGTGTAGCCTAGACCCTAAAACCCTAGGCTAAGGACACAGAGGAGGCCCTGATCCCCCCATTTTTTTTTAGTTCTCTTAGCCCCTTTAGGCCCAACAGGGCACCCTCTTGGTTCCTAGGTTGCTCTTGGGTCTAGTAGACCCTAAGCCCAAAACCCTCAAACCCGAAAGCCTAAACCCATACACCCTCCTCTATAATTCCCCCCCGAAGTTCCCCCCCTTTAAATAGCCGAAGGTAGTAGAGGAACCCTAAACCCTAAACCCTAGCCCTAAACCCTAAACCCTAAACCCTAGCCCGAAACCCGAAACCCTAAACCCTAAACCCTAAACCCTAAACCCTACACCCTAAACCCTAAACCCTAAACCCTGAACCCTGAACCCTGAACCCTGACCCTAAACCCTAAACCCTGAACCCTGAACCCTAAACCCTAAACCCTAAACCCTAAACCCTGAACCCTAAACCCTAAACCCTAAACCCTAAACCCTAAACCCTAAACCTAAACCCTACTCTCAGGTTCCAGGTCGGTGAGCTTCTCCAGGCCGCGCCGGACCAGGAGACCTTTCTCAAACTGCATCTTGCACAGACTAAGGTTTCGGGGTTTCAGGGTTTAGGGTTTAGGTTTAGGGTTTAGGGTTTAGCGGTTTAGGATTAGGGCTTAGGGCTTAGGGTTTCGGGTTTAGGGTTTAGGGTTTAGGATTAGGGCTTAGGGTTTAGGGTTGAGGGTTTAGGGCTTTTAGGGTTTTTAGGGTTTTTAGGGTTTTCAGGGGTTAGGGTTTAGGGTTTTCAGGGTTTAGGGTTTTAAGGGTTTTCAGGGTTTAGGGTTTTAAGGGTTTGCAGGGTTTTAAGGGTTTTCTGGGTTTTCCGGGTTTTCAGGGTTTAGGGTTTTCAGGGTTTAGGGTTTTCAGGGTATAGGGTTTTCAGGGTTTAGGGTTTCAGGGTTTAGGGCTCAGGGTTTCGGGTTTCGGGTTTTGGGTTCAGATGAATCTGGGGGCGGTTTTCTAAGAGCCCTCGAAACCCTGGTATTGGCGAATAGAAACCCTAGAAACCCCCCAAAGCCCTATTCAGAGAGCCCTCAAGAGAGCCCGCACTTCCAGGAAACCCGAAGAAGTCTAGACAGCCCAAGAGCCGTAAAGAACACCAGCACCCCCAACAATTCTGAACAAACCCTTTCAAAAGCTCAAAGCCCAAGCTATCCGAAAGACTTTCTCAACAAACCCAAACCCACCACCCAAAAGCCCGAACATCCAAAACCCCGAAACCCCAAACCCCCAAGACCCAAAGAACCCAACAAGCCTTAAACCCCAAACCCTAACCACTCAAGCCCCAAACCCACAGAACCCCCCAGCCCTAAGCCCAACGAACCCCTGCAAGCATCAAAGCCCCAAACCACCAAACCACAAGAACAAACCCCACACCAAGGATAACCCAACAACAGCCCTAAACCCTAAACCGCCAAACCAAAAAGCAAAACCCAAAAGGCCCCAAACCCTAAACCCCAAGAAACCCCCGAAAGACCCTAAACCCTAAACCCTAAACCCTAAACCCTAAACCCTAAACCCTGAACCCTAAACCAGGGAGCCCTTGGCCCTCGTCAAAACCCCGAGGCTGAGCGTGTCCCTCCAGCAGTCTGCGAAGCCTTTGGCGGAGCGCAGCTCTCCTGCGCTCAGGGACCAACAGGGTTTGGGGGGGTTTTAGGGTCTAGGGTTTAGGGTTTTAGGGTTTAAGGTTTAGGGTTTTAGGGTTTTAGGGGTTTAGGGTTTTAGGGTTTCAGGGTTTTGGGGTTCAAGGTTTAATTAGGGTTTTGGGGTTTTAGGGTTTCAGGGGTTTTCAGGGTTTTTTAGATATTTAGGGTCCCCAAAAGAATCCCAAGCCCCTGAACCGGATGTAGGGCTTCGAGTTTAGGGTGTGTGTGTGTGTGTGGTTTAGGGTTTAGGGTTTAGGGTTTAGGGTTTAGGGTTTAGGGTTTAGGATCTGTGGTTGAGGGTGGCGAGTTTAGGGTTTCTAGGGTTTCTAGGGCTTCTAGGGTTTCTAGGGTTTCTAGGAGTTCTAGGGTTTAGGGTTTAGGGCTTAGTGTTTAGGGTTTCGGGTTTAGGCTTAGGGTTTAGTGTTTCCAGTTCAGGGTCTAGAGCGGTTTCCGTAAGAACCCAAGTTGAGGCTGGATCGAGCGCGCTGTGAAAGCTGGGGCTGAGCCCTCGGGCATCCTCCTGAAGCAGCTCGCTTGGGCTCTTGAGATGGGGCTGAGGGTTTAGGGTTCGGGGTTTAGGGTTTGGGGTTTAGGGTTTAGGGTTTCGGGTTTAGGGTTTAGGGCTCAGGGTTTGGGATTTCGGGTTTAGGGTTGAGGGGTTAGGGTTGAGGGGTTAGGGTTTCGAGTTGAGGGTTTAGGGTTAGGGTTTAGGGTTTTGAGTTGAGGGTGCCGATTGGGGGATGCAGAATGCATTTGCGCGATTGGGCGGTTTGGGTGCCCTGGAGAGGATCTGGAGTTCTGAACTTCAGCCCCTGCCTCCCCCCACCCAAGCTCCCTAAACCTACACCCTAAACCCTAAAGCCCCTAAACCCCCTAAACCCCTTAAACACCCTAAAGCCCCTAAACCCTAAACCCTCCCACCCCGAAGTGGCCCATTCCGAAGGAATTTAGAGCCCAAGTCCTGGTTTCCCAAAACCCTCCCAAATAACGCCCCTAAACCCCACCCCCTTCAATCCGCCAAGCTCCCTCAACCCCCTCAACCCTCCCTAACACCCTAACACCCTAACACCCTAACACCCTAACACCCTAACACCCTAACACCCTAACACCCTAACACCCTAACACCCTAACACCCCAACACCCCAACACCCTAGCACCCTAACACCCTAACACGCCCTAACACCCCAACACCCTAACACACCCTAACACCCCAACACCCTAACACCCTCAACCCTAAACCCCCTAAACCCCCTAAACCCCCTAAACCCCCTAAACCCCCTAACCCCCTAAACCCCCTAAACCCCCTAAACCCCCTAAACCCCCTAAACCCCCTAAACCCCCTAAACCCCCTAAACCCCCTAAACCCCCTAAACCCTAAGCCCGCTCTTTCTCTGCACCCAGGATGCTCAAGGAGAGCGCGGCGCGGAAGGCCTTCGAAGCGCTGGTGAGGCAGTCGGCCCGACGTGGGGAGCTCCTCGACATCTCCGAGGGGGGGGGTTTAGGGTTTAGGGTTTAGGGTTTAGGGTTTAGGGTTAGGGTTTAGGGTCGAGGGTCTAGGGTCTAGGGTTTAGGGTTTAGGGTGTAGGGTTTAGGGGTTTAGGGTTTAGGGTGTAGGGTTTAGGGGTTTAGGGTTTAGCCCGACGGGTTCAGTTCCGGGGATGGGTTTGTGTCGTAATTTACAGGGTTTCGTGTTGTAGAGGCCGGAAAAAAACAATTATTGTGAGTCGGTTTCGGTATGAAAGAGGGGGCTTCTGTAATTGCACACATTCCGTTGTCTTTTCAAGAAGCACAGGGCCCAAAGACCAATGTCCAAACCAGGAAGCATCTAGTTGAGACCCTAAGCCCCGAGTCCGAACCTCGAAGCATCTACTTAAGACCCGAAGCCCCGACTCCAAACCACGAAGCATGTACTTTAGATTTGCAGGCCTGAGTCCATAGCAGGCAGTACTTCTTAACGAGGCTACGCTGAGAATCCTGAAAGCCTGAACCCTATAGTGAAATCCTGAGGTGAAACCATAAGACAGTGTTGTAGCCACGATGTTCCCACTCTTTAGCATCCCCACCCAAAGAAGCCGGGTTCAAAGTGTCGTTCTTAACCCCCCCCCCCCCCCCCCCCCCCCCCCCCACCCCCCCCCACCCCCTCCCGAAGAAACCAAAAAAGCGCAAAACGCGCTGGGTGTAAGTAGCAAAGGCAGGCTATCATACATGTCTCGATTCTACCACGCAGGCCACGCTTTTCGTGACCTTGCACAAAACACCGACGACAACCAGGCACCAAAAGTAGCGCAACTTTTGGTAGTTGCCAACGCTGCAATGGCAACACGTCACAACACAGACAAAAAAAAAACCCGACATGTTGAACATCGCAGGAAAACCACACGCAGGCCAATGTTTGCAACATGCAGCGTGAGCACAGAGCACCAGCAACAGGCAAGAAAAAGCTGCTAGGACCTGAAAAACCGTCCCCGGAAGTGAACCCGCCAGGGGGTTTAGGGTTCGGGGTCTAGGGTTTAGGGTTCGGGGTCTAGGGTGTTTAGGGTGTTTAGGGTGTTTAGGGTGTTTAGGGTGTTTAGGGTGTTTAGGGTGTTTAGGGTGTTTAGGGTGTTTCGGGTGTTTAGGGTGTTTAGGGTGTTTAGGGTGTTAAGGGTGTTTAGGGTGTTTAGGGTGTTTAGGGTGTTTAGGGTTCAGGGGTTCAGGGGTTAGGGTTTAGGGATGAGGGTTTAGGCAGCTTTTGCCTGGGGGTTTTGGTTGCGGGGGCTTTTGGGGCTTTTGGCTTTTGGGGCTCTTGGGGGTTAGGGTTTAGTTTGTTTGTCTTGGTTTCGGAGGGAGGGTTCCGGACGGTTTTTATTTTGTCATATTGTGGTAGTTGTCTAGCTATGATTGGATTATTCACAATGCTCTTATAGGGCTTAGAGGGGGGCCCTGAAGCCTAAACCCTAAACCCTCAACCCTAGACCCTAAACCCTAAACCCCAAACCCTAAACCTTTAAACCCTAAACCCTAAACCCTAAACCCTAAACCCTAAACCCTAAACCCTAAACCCTAAACCTTTAAACCCTAAACCCTAAACCCTAGACCCTAAACCCTAAACCCTAAACCCTAAACCCCAAACCTACGATGCTCTTATAGGGCTTTGGGGGGGGAGGGGGGGGGGGGGGGGGGGGGGCGCTGAGCACCACTGTTGCAAGCTATCCAAGGCTGACGGCTGCACGCCGGTGGTTTGACCAGGCGGAGGGAGTCGAAGGGGCTCGCACGCTTGGGACGTTTAGGGTTTGGGGTTTTTGGTTGAGTTATTTTTTTTTGGGGGGGGGGGGGTTAAGTAGGGTCTACATATTTAGGGTTAAGAGTTAAGCGGGTGGTTTAAGGTTTTGGGGTTGAGTTCGTGTTTAAGTCTGGGCTTGAATTCAGGTTTTAGGGTACCGGTATTGCTCAACCGAACGCCACTTAGCATAGTTTACCAACATGTCCAGCTAAAGTCCGTCCAAGCACAACTCAAAAGTAAACAAGCCAAAGCCAGAACCAAGGCCAAAGCCAGCCCAAAAATCGAAATTCGCACATCTGGAATCTTTCCAGTTTTCAGCTTCAGAAACGACTTGGAGAAGCAGGCTTTCAAGAAATCAGCTTTCCAGGCCGTCTCTCGGGTTTAGGGTTTAGGCTTTAGGGTTTGGGCAAGCCGCTTCCTCGAACGTCGAAGTTTGTATGCCGAGCAACAGATTGTCGGGAATCAGGTTTTAAGTTTGGGCTGTTCCCCCTTATACAAACAGTCCTTACTAGGGAATGACATCAGTGGGTAATCTAATCCCGATTAAGGACTCTTAGAACAAGGGGGAACATCCCAATTTTAAGTTTCCTTCCAGGGAGCCCTTACTTGGAGGTTCGTGGTACTTATTAACCAATTATCGCTGTACTTATAGCTGTGCTTATAGCCATATAAGGGCACTTAAGGGGCTTGTAAGTGGGTTATAGTCGGTTATAAGTACAGTTATAATTGGTTAGTAAGTACCATGAGCCTCCAAGTAAGGCTTCCAACCTGGAGAGACTCCAGCATGCAAACTGTTCTCCTACGATGGGGGTCTGGAGGCTCTCTGCATAATTTGGGGTTTAGGACTTCTAGGGCTTCTAAGGAACCTTGCATATTGCGTGAAGCTTCACTCTGTGCGCCCAATGCTTATCCGAAATTCTTCATTTTCTACAGATGGTTCCTACCTCATACAATACAAAGTTTTGCCACCCTTGGCTACACTGCCTCTGCACTTGCCATCTAGCAATCCCCTGTTACTCGGCTGCTTCTCTTCTTTTCCATGTGAAGCCCTGAACCCATCTTCTCTTAACAGGCTATTGCGGCTGGGCTCTACCCCACAAGCTTCACCGTGGCGACGCTCGTGGAGGTAGGGCAGATGGTTCAGAGTCTAAAGGCTCGCGGTCCCCTAAACCCCAAACCCTAAAAACCCTAAAGCCCTATGACTCAGGGGGTTGCCGTTCAGGGTTCGGGCTTCGGCCCTGAACCCCTCAGTCGCACCAGACCCTGCACCCCTACAAATCCCAAATCCCTGATCCCCTAACCCTCTCAAGCCCTAAAGTTCCGAAACCCTAAACCCAAAGCCCCTGAACCCTAAACCCTGAACCCCTAAAACTCAAGTCCCTCTTGAACCTGTCACCCCTCCAGTCTCCTCAGGCAGCCGCGCGTTCGGGGGACCTCGACCTTTCTGTGGAGTGGTACGAGGAGACGAGACGGGGTGTAGGGTTTAGGGTTTAGGGTTTTAGGGTTTAGGGTTTAGCGAGGGTTTAGGGTTTAGGGTTTAGGGTTTAGTCAGGGTTTACGGTTCCGGTTTTTTAGGATTTCGTCACAAGGGTTTTAGGGTGTTAGTGTTTTTTTTCTTGGATTTTCTGGGGTTTGCGCCTTGGACAGTTTTACGGAGTTGGGCTGTTGGTGCTTGTTGGGGCTGCAGGGTTACATGGCCATGAGGATATGGATGTCAACATCATAGGGTTCTTAAGGGAGGAGGGTAGCTGTAACCTAAGGTTCCTCAAAGCTCCCCACTACTCCCTAAGGCTCCCTAACCTACCCCCCATGAACCCCCATCCCTAAGAACCCCATAACAATAGGGTTTAGGGTTTAGGGTCTAGGGTTTAGGGTCCAGGGTTTAGCATCCCAGCGTTTCGCCAGGAGCTTTTGCGGAGCTCTCCCCTCCCGGTGCTGAACTTGTTGCTGGACCTCTTTTTTTTGCCCGTCCCCTGTTTTCGGGGGTTCAGGGTTCAGGGTTTGGGGTTTGGGGGTTGAGGGGTTTCGGATTAAGGGTTTAAGGGGTTTGGGGTTTTGGGTTTAGGGTTTTTGGTGTGTAGGTTTCCGGGTTTTCGAGGTTTACTGTTCCGGGCCTAGTTGCCGGACCCCGGACACACCCCGAACCCTAGACCCCAATAGTGGATTAGGGTTTAAGGGTTAAGGGTTTAGGGTTTAAGGTTCAGGTTTTAGTCGATAGGGGAAGTCTCAGGAGATCTAACCCCACAGATTGTGCACATACTCAGCCTTGCATCTTCACCCCCACGCATAAAATCAGGAGGTGTTTAGCCTCGGAGAGTTCGAGAACCCTAGCCTGAAGGTGAGTTTAGGGTTTAGGGTTTAGGGTTTAGGGTTTAGGGCTTAGGGTTTAGGGTTTAGGGTTTAGGGTTTAGGGACATCTGCTCGAGTGGGGGCACCCTTTTTAACGTCAAGCTTGCTGGGCTAGTCAGGACATCGTGATTGTTTGGGGGTGCGCCCTGGGATCCTCTGTTAAGTAGCACTGTCCAGGTGTCGTAGCAAATTATTCAGCGCCTTGGAAATCAATTGCCGGGCCTCGCTGTCCCGTTTGAACTCATCTGAACTCCTCCTTTTTTCAAATCATCCCTCAACCCTCAACCCTCAACCCTAAACCCTAAACCCTAAACCCTAAACCCTAAACCCTAAACCATAGAAAGAGAAGACCGTGGACCGTTTAGCGAGAGCTTCGCTTCGACTCTGCAGGGGGGCCGGGGGGGGGGGGGGGGGGGGGGGCGGGGGAGCCCCAAACCCAAACCCAAAGCTTGGCAACCCTGAACCTCCAACCCAAAAAAACTGTAAAATCCGGTGCAAAAGCTCCCGAAAGCTCCTTAGATCCGACTACTACACCACCCCATGGTCTCAAAATAGAGCCCTAAAGACCATCACAGCCGAAACGCCCGATGAACCCTGGAAAGCTCTTTAAACCCCTAAAACGCCGTATGCGCCCTAAGCCCTATTAACCCCGACAAACGCTAAAAGGCCTTAGACAGGCGCGTTACAAACCCTCAAACCCAAACCCTAAACCCTAAACCCTAAACTCCTTAAGCCCTATGCGGAGGATGCGGCAGCGCAGGCGGACCTGGCGCTGGCGCAGCGCTGGTATGAGCGAGCCCTGGACCTGGGGCTTAACGCCGATGTGCAGGCAGGGTTTAGGTTTAGGGTTTAGGGTTTAGGGTTTAGGGTTTAGGGTTTAGGGTTTAGGGTTTAGGGTTTAGGGTTTAGGGTTTAGGGTTTAGGGTTTCGGGAGATTAAGTCTTGCTTAGAGAGAGTGTTTTTTGGAGGTCATAGAATCTTCGGGGTTTTTTGTGTTCCGAAAACGGTTTGTAGGATTTATAGACTTCTGGAGTCTTTTGCGTTCCTGAGAGAGTTTTTGGGGCTCATAAATTCCGGGGCTTTCGTGGGTCTTCGGTTTTGAAATCAGGGGTTTGGGGCCAATCTTCTGGGTTTGCTGGGGGGGGGGGGGGTTCAGGGCCCCTGGTGCAGTCCCTGCTTTATGATGTTCTAGGACCATGAAACCCACGCCGAAAATGCAACCCCTATCCCTAAACTTAATCTTACCCCCTAAACCCCGAACCCTAAACCCTAAACCACACCAAAAGTAGGGCCTCAAGAGCCGTCTGCGGGCAGGTTTTCAACACACTCATCACGGCTGCTGCCCGGACACTGTGCCAAATGGCATATGTTGCACATGTGGGAGGCTGTTCGAAAGAACCCCCCCCCCCCCCAACCCCGAGCCCGCCCCAGCTGCCCGAAGGGGCAGGAGGATGACAGTCCGAAACCCTAAACCCTAAACCCTAAACCCTAAACCCTAAACCCTAAAAACCCCCAAAACCCCAAAAACCCCAAAAACCCCAAACCCTAAGCCCTAAACCCTAAACCCGAAACCCCAGGCTGGTTTCCGCAGGTATCTACGGAGGGAAGAGTTGAATTTCGGATTATCAATATATAGCACCAAAGTCGAAAAGTCCCCCCGATCTACGGCTAGCATCCTAAACGCCAAAGCCTAACACAGGACAGTGCCTCGCATGCCAGGGTTTTGGTTTAAGGGGTTTAAGGGTTTAAGGGTTTAATGGTGTAAGGGTTTAAGGGTTTAAGGGTTCAAGGGTTTAAGGGTTTAAGGGTGTATTTAGGGTTTAGGGTTTAGGGTTTAGGGTTTAGGGTTTGGAGATTCAAGGGGTTTAGGGCGTTGAGGCCCGGCGCCTTTGACTTGGTAAGTCGACTCGGTGGCCCCTAGAAAACCTACTTATAATCCCTATAACTCAACTTACTAACCCTGAACCCTAAACCCTAAACCCTAAACCCTAAACCCTAAACCCTAAACCCCAAACCCCAAACCCCAAACCCTAAACCCTAAACCCCAAACTTACTGGGCTTCAGGCCCTCCATAAGGGGTGCCCTCACTAAAAGCTCCCCTCTGAAATGCAAGGAAGGGCGATCTCCAGAGTGCGGAGCAGTGGTACAGCCAGGGCATAGGCAGGGTTTAGGGTTTAGGGTTTAGGGTTTAGGGTTTCGGGTTTAGGGTTTAGGGTTCAGGGTTTAGGGTTTAGGGTTTAGGGTTTAGGGTTTAGGGTTTAGGGTTTAGGGCTTCCAGCTTGGCGTTGTGCTGTTCCAAATGGGCCATTCTGGGGTTCTAGAAGGAAGCTGACTAGACAGGGCCTTTTGAGGCTTAGGTTTTGGAATTTAGGGACCAACCCTAAAACCTAAACCCTAAACCCTAAACCCTAAACCCCAAGCCCTAAACCCCAAGCCCTGAAGATCTGCGTGATACTGGTGGTGGACCTAAGTGGTAGTGGTGTACCACGAACCCTAAACCCTAAACCCTAAACTTTGGCCCTAAACCCTAAGCCCTAAACCCTAAACCCTAAACCCTAAACCCTAAACCCTAAACCCTAAACCCTAAACCCTAAACCCTAAACCTACTGAAAGAAGGCGCCGGCTTCGACCCTAACGAGAAGACCTTCCGTCTGATGCGTCCTGGGTTGAGTGTTAGTGTGACCCTAAACCCTAAACCCTAAACGGGTACCATGGTACCATGGCATCAGGTGTGAGGCTTCAGGGTTTTGAGGGTGTTGCGGTGTAAGGTTGGGAGTGCTCCATGGGGTCTCAAGCTCGTACCCGCCTGAAAGTCACCCTCCAGGCTAGACAACCGTGGGGGTCCAAGGTAGACTAGGGTTTAGGGTTTAGGGTTTAGGGTTTAGGGTTTAGGGTCTAGGGTTTAGGGTTTAGGGTTTAGGGTTTAGGGTTTAGGGTTTAGGGTTTAGGGTTTAGGGTGTGCAGGGGCTCAGGGTTTAGGCCCTGGGTTGAGGTGCGAGGGTCTAAGTCGACAGTCGCAGGGTTCAGGGCCTTCGGCTGAGGACGTCTATCGGGCTTAGGTTGTGCTTGGAGCCCTCGCGAAACTCGATTCCTCTCTTTACCGAGCCTTCACTCCGAAATCCCATTCGGCGACAATCCCCCCCACCATGACACTGCATGAACGGCCCCTCATTGCCTACACCCGGTTCTCAACGCGAAGCCGTAAACCCTAGCCCTAAACCCCAAACCCTAAACCCTAAACCCTAAACCCTAAATTTAAGAGCCTCCGGCTCAAGCCGCCGACCCCGCTGGAGCATAGTTGAGAGGTCTATCCCAGCCTGCTCGGCAGAGTTCTTGTGAAACGTTGGGGGGGTCAGGACAAGCGCAAGCCAAAAAGACAGGCGGTGGGGGGGGGTGGGGCGGGGGTGGGGGTGGGGGGGGGGGGGGGGGGGGGGTTGGTGGGGTGGGGGGGCGTGGGGGTGGGGGGGAGGGGCGGGTGGGGGTGGGGGGGGGGGTCCAAAAACGCTGATTTTGCTGAGGGCGCCCCTACCCCCCTGTGCTGAACCGCCTGTTTACGCTGTGCGGGTGGCGCCGTCCTCCACGAAAAAATTGTGCACCGACCCCCCCCACCCCCCCCCGCGTTTTGGGGGGGTAAGGAGGGAAAGAGGGAGGTTTTCACCTCCTTTTCCCATCCAACACGCCGCCAGGGTCGGCGGACCCTAAACCCTAAACCCTAAACCCTAAACCCTAAACCCTAAACCCTAAACCCGAAACCCAACAAAGGTGTCCAAGCCTCCCCAGGATTGAGACGTGCCTTGCGCGGCGGGACCTTGCGGCTGCCACCTACTGGTTCGGACGCCCCCATCCGACTTAGGGTTGCGGATTTTTCAGGGTTTAGGGTTTAGGGTTTAGGGTTTAGGGCTAGGGTTTAGGGTTTAGGGTTTAGGGTTTAGGGTTTAGGGTTTAGGGTTCAGGGTTTAGGGTTTAGGGTATAGGGCTTAGGGGCCCGACACTCTAAGGGAAGACTCAGGGCCCTTAATATGGTCCCAAACCTCCTTTAAAGGGTTCTGATGTATGGGCCTTGGGTTGGTTGTATAGTATATAAGGGGTATTTCAGGGGTCCCGTCTAAGGCTAAGGGAAGTTACATGGTCCCTTAATATGGGGCCCTGAATATGGCCCCAACCCTCCAGAAAATGGTTCTGATGTCTGGGTCCTTGGGTTGTACGGGGTATGCAAGGGGGTAGATAAGGGGTACCCTGCCCATACTCAAGGACCACGTAACTACCCCAAGAAGGCTTGAAGTTTCGAAGTTGGCAAGCCGGGGGTTTGGGTTTTATCAGGTTTAAACCCTATGCCCTAGATCCTAAACCCTAAACCCAAAAGACCCTAAGCCCTAAACCCCTAAGCCCCAAACCCCAGACCGTAGACCCTGGGCAGACTCTGGGGGTGGTGCTACCTTGCCGCCGGCATCTACTACAGTCGGAACCGGGTTTAGGGTTTAGGGTTTAGGGTTTGGGGTTTAGGGTTTAGGGTTTAGCGTTAAGGGTTTGGGGTTTAGGGTTTTGGGTTTAGGGTTTGGGGTTTGTTTGTTTTCACTTCTGGAAGATGGGAACCCCTCCCGCCTTTGGCGATTCCAAAAAGCACCCTTGTAGGGTTTGAGGCCTGCGGGCTTATAGAACTGGCACTTAAGGCTTTCAGTTGCGGGTAAAGCGACCATGACTCCTGCACTTTAGGGCCTAGTGTCGCCCCAAGTCCCCGAGAAGCCAAGGGCCCCCAAGCCTAAACCCTAAACCCTATGACGCTGTATGTCAAGCCTCCGAACCCCAAACCCCAAGACCTCTTTGGGGTTTAGAGTTTAGGGTTCAGGGTTTAGGGTTTAGGGCCTGAATCCGCGTGCTCCTGAGGGAAGTCACTGGCGGTGGGGGTGCTCCTGCCCCCAGAGGCCATCGTCCTGTCCGCACGTGGGGGGAGGGAGGGTGGACTGGGTGGTAGCGATGTAGGATCCAGCGAGTTCGGGGTTAGGGTTTAGGGTTTAGGGTTTAGGGTCTGGGGTCCAATGTGTTGGGGTTTGCACATTGCAGCCCCTCAACCCCAAACCTCTTAACTTCTTGGTAGCCCCTGTGGTGCCCTTTGCCCTTTTTGGGTCAAGGTTCCCTTACAAAGTAACCGAGCCCAACAGGGGCACCCTTCCTTAAGGGTCAAGGGTGTTCCTTGCAGGACGGGTTTTCTTCTTGTCTCTTGGGGTGGTGCAGCATGTGATTCAGATACCCCAACTACGAAGCTCTAAGCCTTTTTGGATGAACTTATGGCTTTACGGTTTAGGGTTTCGGGTTTAGGGCTTCAGTTTCGGGTTTAGGGCTTTTAGGGTTTTTAGGGTTTTAGGGTTTTTAGGGTTTTTAGGGTTTTTAGGGTTTTTAGGGTCTTTAGGGTTTAGGGTTTAGGCTTTAGGCTTTCAAGGTTCTGTTGTCAGCTTTTGGGCACGGGCTCCAGCATATCTTTCGGACGGAAGGGCCCTGGCGAAACTGAGGTGTGAGGCATCGACCCCAAGGTTTGGGGGGTTTAGGGTTTAGGGTTTAGGGTTTGGGGTTTAGGTTTAGGGTTTAGGGTTCAGGGTTTGGCAGGGTCTTGGGGCTCTGTCTGCAGGTTCGGGTTATCTGGAAGTGGGGTTCAAGGTACCTGACTTCGTCATCTGACCTTCAACTAGGAAATGGCGCTTTCTAGGTTCCTTCGTAGAAAGCCAAGGAATCCTTGAACCCTGCACCCTGCGGTCGTGAGGGTTTGGGGTTCGGGGTTTGGGGTTGAACTTAGGATTTTTTAGTTTTTTTTTTGGGGGGGGGGTTGTTCAGGGTTCAAGGTTTGAGGTGCTACGAAGACAAGACGGTTTCAGGTTTTTCTGTTCAGGGTGTAGGGTTGCGAGGCTTTTAACCAGCTCCTCGAGAAGGTAGCCCGCTACTGGGCTCGCAGGAAGTCGGCTGAGCTTAGGGTTTAGGGCTGCTGGTTCTACACGCCTCCCCCATTACCCAAACCTTAAACCCCGAAACATGAAAGCCCTGAACCCTAATACCCTAAAACCCCCGCCCTGCTGGTGTTCGCGCAGGGATTCAGGGATTTGGGGTTCATGTGCAGCCCTCAACTCCTCATCCCTAGATGCACCAACATGGGCCTCAGGTTTGGATGGGTTGCCTGCGGCCGCAAACCTCTACGCCAAAGCCGCTGAAGGCGGCTGCAATCTCATAGGCGCCCCCCCCAAACGCCGCCTCAACCCCTAAGCCCAACACTTCAATCCTTATAAGTTTGCATGTTCCCCTTTATACTAACAGTCGGACTGTTAGTATAAGGGGGAACATGCCAACTTACAGCTCTATGCGCATAGTACCTATGCATGTCTTGAACCCTACACCCCCAAGCCCTTAACCAGCCCGACTTGCTGGTTCTTAGTCGGCAAAGGAGGAATGACGTACCCTATATGAAGGGTATAGCAAGCGGGGTAGAAGTATAAGGTACCTAATTCCCCCATTCCCTACTAAGAACCACAGGGCCAGTTGTTGATCCAGCTTGGCAAGCTCAGGCACAAGCTGAACAGCCCTAACAGAAGGAGCACCCCAAACCCTAAACCCTAAACCCTAAACCCTAAACCCTAAACCCTAAACCCTAAACCCTAAACCCTAAACCCTAAACCCTAAACCCTAAACCCTAAACCCTAAACCGTAAACCCTAAACCCGAAACCCTAAACCTAAACCTTAAGCCCGAAACCCTGAGCCAAGACAAAAACCTTGCCAGAAGCACTTCTCCTGAACTCAAAACCCTAAACCCTCTGGGGCACCAGGCTCTCGATCGTGGTCATGTTGTCTTCCTCAGCTGGGCCCCCCCCCCCGTGGGTGGCTTAAATAGGGTCTATTTGGAAGCTGGGACTCGGGTTTTCTTATAGCCATACACGTTTCCACGAGGGTACGCTGCTGTCACGTCAGTCGTACTATGGAGGCCTCAGGAACAAGAACCAGGTAGTTCCTCTTTTCTCTTCTCTTTTTCTCCTCAATCCTAAAGTCGAAGGCTCTCGTGAGGAGAAGAGAAGGGAGAGAAGGAGGGAAAGATAAGAGGAACACGATTTTCATGGGAAGAGCCAAGAAAAGAATAGAAGAGAGATAAAACAAGGCGCAAAGAAGATGGTACTCTTCTTTATCTATCCTCTCTCCCTTATCTCTCCGTTCCCTCTGTCTTTTCGAAATGAGAAAAACAAAAAGAAAGATGAAAAGAAGAAGGGTTAGGAAAAGAGCCGAAGAGATAGGCCGAAAAGAGGGGTATGGTGAAGTACGGCAAAGGTCCACGCACAAGGAGTCACCTTCTGCTTACCCTTCCACTGCTTGATTTTACAAGCTCCTTTCTTGTGTTTTATCAGTTAAAATTAAAAGGAAACAGAAGGAGAGAAGGGAAAGGGAAGTGAGAGAGGAGAGACAACAAGGAGGCCATTTTAATTTCCTGTGAGTTATCAAAAGGAATGCAATATTATGGGAAGAGCAATGGAAAAAAAGAGTGGAAGAGAAATTAAGACAGGAGAGGGAGGTGCAAAAATAAGGCAAAGAGAAGATGGTGCCGTTCTCATCTCACCTCTCGTTCTTATCTTCCTCTTCTCTGGTTCTTTTCCCTGTGAAATAAAAAAACAAAAGGAAGGACAATGAACATATAAAGGAACCCGTTTTCGTTTTCCGTTTGGGCACAAGGAAAAACAGAGGCGATAGGGCGAGAGGAGGGGTTTGCTGAAGCATGGGGAGGGTGTACGGGCAAGGGGCCAACTCCGCCCACTTCCCCCATCCATTGAAAGAGGAAAAGGAACAGGGCCTCCATTCCCCTCTTATTCTTCCTTTCTTGCGTTTTTGTCGTTTAGAAGGGAACAGGAGAAGAGGAGGGAGAGAGAAGGAGAGAGGAGACATAAAAAGGATTGCATTTTTAATGGGAAGAGCAAAGAAAAGACCAGAAGAGAGATGATGGGAGAAGAGGGGGAGACAAAACAAGGCGCACAGAAAATGGGCAGATAAGAAGAGAGGAAAGGGAATGACCAAGTACAATGAGGAGTTCTTCAATTTCCCTCCCTATCTCTTATGTTACTTTTCCTTCTTGTGGGGTGTCCCTTTTTCTCTTGAAGATGCAGAAAACGATTGAAAAGGACACCCGTTCCATCGCCCATATGTAGGGAAAGAGAGAGAATCATGAGCATCAGCTGGGCTTGCTGCCAATCCAACATGGGCATCCCTTTTAATCGCATTCTGTGTCCTTTTTTCTCGCTTGAAGATGCAGAAAACGATCCAAAAGCACATCTGTTGGAGGAAGAGAGAAGGAGAGAGGAGAGATACCAAGGATTGCATATTTAATGGGAAGAGCAAGGAAGAGAATAGAAGACAGATGAATAGAGAAGATGGCGCTCTTCTTTATCTATTCTCTCTCCCTTGTTTCTCCCTTCCCTCTTTCTTTTCGAAATGAGAAAAACAAAAAGGAAGAACTATGAGAAGGAGAAGAGTAAGGAAATGAACAGAAGAGATAGGCCGAGAGGATGAATATGATGGAGTATTATGGAAAGGCTCACGCGCAAGGAGTCACCCTCTGCTTACCTTTTCACTGCTTTATCATATGAGCTCCTTTCTTGTGTTTTATCAGTTAAAAGGAAGCGGAAGAAGAGAAGGGAAAGGGAAGTGAGAGAGGAAAGATAACAAGGATGCTATGTTTCCCGAAGCGTGCTGCAAGGAATAGAAGAGACAGGAAGCAAGGAGACGGAATCACAAAATAAGGCGCCAAGCTGTACATATCATCTCTCCCTTGTCTCTCCCTATTCCCTTTCGAACTAGAAAAAACCATTCTTGCTTTTCACAGATAGGTTCCCTCTCTCCTCTTCAGGAAATCCCCTTTCCCTTATGTTGCTTTTTGAAGCGAATAAGAAAAATAGCAGATAAGAAGAGAGGAAAGGGTCAATTTCCCTCCCTATCTCTTATGTTGCTTTTCCTTCTTGTGGGGTGTCCCTGTTTCTCTTGAAGATGCAGAAAACGATTGAAAGGACACCCGTTCCATCGCCCATGTGTAGGGAAAGAGAGAGAATCATGAGCATCAGCTGGGCTTGCTGCCAATCCAACATGGGCGTCCCTTTTAATCGCAGTCTGTGTCCTTTTTTCTCGCTTGAAGATGCAGAAAACGATCCAAAAGCACGTCTGTTGGAGGAAGAGAGAAGGAGAGAGGAGAGATACCAAGGATTGCATATTTAATGGGAAGAGCAAGGAAGAGAATAGAAGACAGATGAATAGAGAAGAGGGAGAGACAAAACAAGGCGCAGAGAAGATGGCACTCTTCTTTATCTATTCTCTCTCCCTTGTTTCTCCCTTCCCTCTTTCTTTTCGAAATGAGAAAACAAAAAGGAAGAACTATGAGAAGGAGAAGAGTAAGGAAAGGAACAGAAGAGATAGGCCGAGAGGATGAATATGATGGAGTATTATGGAAAGGCTCACGCGCAAGGAGTCACCCTCTGCTTACCTTTCCACTGCTTTATCATATGAGTTCCTTTCTTGTGTTTTATCAGTTAAAAGGAAGCAGAAGAGAAGGGAAAAGCAAAAATTGAGCCCAACATTTTAGGACCAGGGCTTGCGATCTGACTCTTTGGAGCAAAAATCGATTCCAAAATCTTAGGGACCAGGGCTTGCGATGTTACTCTTTGGAGCAAAAAATGAACCCAGAATCTTAAAGACCGGGGCTTGCGATTTCACCTTTTGGAGCAAATACTGGGCCCAAAATCTTAGGGACCAGGGCTTGCAATTTGACTCCGTGGAGCACAAATCGACCCCGAAATCTTAGGGACCAGGGCTTGCGATTTTACTCTGTGGAGCACAAATCGACCCCGACAACTTAGGGACCAGGGCTTGCGATTTGACTCTTTGGAGCAAAAATCGACCCAAAAATCTAAGGGACCAGGGCTTGCGATTTTACTCTTTGGCGCAAAAACTGGGCCCCAAATCTTAGGGACCAGGGCTTGCGATGTCACTCTTTGGAGCAAAATTGAACCCAAAGTCTTAGGGACCAGGGCTTGCGATTTGATTCTTTGGAGCAAAAACTGTGCCCAAAATCTTAGGGAGCAGGGTTTGCGATTTGACTCTTTGGAGCAAAAACTGGGCCCCAAATCTTAGGGACCAGGGCTTGCGGTTTGACTCTTTGGAGCAAAAATTGAACCCAAAATCTTAGGGACCAGGGCTTGCGATTTGACTCTTTGAACCAAAAACTGGGCCCAAAATCTTAGGGACAAGGGCTTGCGATGTCACTCTTTGGAGCAAAAAATGAAACCAAAATCTTAGGGACCAGGGCTTGCGATTTGACTCTTTGGAGCAAAAACTGGGCCCCAAATCTTAGGGACCAGGGCTTGCGATTTGACTCTTTGGAGCAAAAATTGAACCCAAAATCTTAGGGACCAGGGCTTGCGATGTCACTCTTCGGAGCAAAAACTGGGCCCAAGATCTTAGGGACCAGGGCTTGCGATGTCGAATGCAAAATCTTAGGGACCAGGGCCTGCGATTTGACTCTTTGGAGCAAAAATTGAACCCAAAATCTTAGGGACCAGGGCTTGCGATTGGACTCTTTGGAGGAAAAACTGGGCCCAAGATCTTAGGGACCAGGGCTTGCGATGTCACTCTTTGGAGCAAAAAATGAACCCAAAATCTTAGGGACCAGGGCTTGCGATTTGACTCTTTGGAGCAAAAACTGGGCCCCAAATCTTAGGGACCAGGGCTTGCGATGTCGCTCTTTGGAGCAAAAAACGAACCCAAAATCTTAAGGACCAGGGCTTGCGATGTCACTCTTTGGAGCAAAAATTGAACCCAAAATCTTAGGGACCAGGACTTGCGATGTCACTCTTTGGAGCAAAAACTGGGCCCAAAATCTTAGGGACCAGGGCTTGCGATGTTACTCTTTGGAGCAAAAACTGGGCCCCAAATCTTAGGGACCAGGGCTTGCGATGTCACCCTTTGGAGCAAAAATTGAACCCAAAATCTTAGGGACCAGGGCTTGCGATGTTACTCTTTGGAGCAAAAACTGGGCCCCCAATCTTAGGGACCAGGGCTTGCGATGTCACTCTTTGGAGCAAAAATTGAACCCAAAGTCTTAGGGACCAGGGCTTGCGATATGACTCTTTGGAGCAAAAACTGGGCCCAAAATCTTAGGGAGCAGGGTTTGCGATTTGACTCTTTGGAGCAAAAACTGCGCCCCAAATCTTAGGGACCAGGGCTTGCGGTTTGACTCTTTGGAGCAAAAATTGAACCCAAAATCTTAGGGACCAGGGCTTGCTCTTTGAACCAAAAACTGGGCCCAAAATCTTAGGGACAAGGGCTTGCGATGTCACTCTTTGGAGCAAGAAATGAACCCAAAATCTTAGGGAGCAGGGCTTGCGATTTGACCCTTTGGAGCAAAAACTGTGCCCCAAATCTTAGGGACCAGGGCTTGCGGTTTGACTCTGTGGAGCAAAAATTGAACCCGAAATCTTCGGGGCCAGGGCTTGCGATTTGACTCTTCGGAGCAAGAAATGATGCTTTGGAGCAAAAAACTGAGTCCAAAATCTTAGGGACCAGGGCTTGCGATTTGACTCTTTGGAGCAAAAACTGGGCCCCAAATAATAGGGACCAGGGCTTGCGATGTTACTCTTTGGGGCAAGAAATGAGCCCAAAATCTTAGGGACCAGGGCTTGCGATGTTACTTTTTGGGGCAAGAAATGAGCTCAAAATCTTAGGGACCAGGGCTTGCGATGTCACTTTTTGGAGCAAAAACTGTGCCCTAGCATTGGGGGGAGGAGGGCTCGTGATTTAGTATTGGGAGGAGGCCCGGGCTCGTAAATTAGTATTGGGGGGAGGCCCGGCTCGTGATTTAGTATTGCGGGAGGCCCGGGCTCGTGATTTAGTATTGGGGGGAGGCCCGGGCTCGTGATTTAGTATTGGGGGGAGGCCCGGGCTCGTAATTTGGAGGCCCGGGCTCGTGATTTAGCCCGGGCTCGTGATTTAGTATTGGGGGGAGGCCCGGGCTCGTGATTTAGTATTGCGGGAAGGCCCGGGCTCGTGGTTTAGTATTGGGGGGAGGAGGATGCCCCAGCCCCCACCCCCCATTTGGAAATAAATGAATTACTTGAATTAATTGAAATAATTGCCCCACCCCCCCCCTTTGCAAATAAATGAATTAATTGAATTAATTGAATTAATTGAATTAATTGAATTAATTCAACTAATTCAAGTAATTTATTTATTTCCGAAGGGGAGGTGGAATTAATTGAATTAATTGAATTAATTCAATTATTTCAATTAATTCAATTAATTCAATTAATTCATTTATTTCCAAATGGGGGGGATTCCCCAGCCCCCACCACCCCCCCCCTTTGGAAATAAATGAATTAATTGAATTAATTGAATTAATTGAATTAATTGAATTAATTGAATTAATTGAATTAATTGAATTTCAATTAATTCAATTAATTTATTTATTTCCAAAGGGGAGGTGGAATTAATTGAATTAATTGAATTAATTCAATTATTTCAATTAATTCAATTAATTCATTTATTTCCAAAGGGGGGGGAGGGGTGGGGGCTGAGGAATCCCCCCATTTGGAAATAAATGAATTAATTGAATTAATTGAATTAATTGAATTAATTGAATTAATTCAACTAATTCAATTAATTCTTTTATTTCCAAAGGGGAGGTGGAATTAATTGAATTAATTGAATTAATTCAATTATTTCAATTAATTCAATTAATTCAATTAATTCATTTATTTCCAA